CCAAACAATGATGATGGCTGCAACCAAAAATAGCCAGGTGTTGAGGTGGGCGCCTGTAGTCCCAGCTACTTGGGAGGCGGAGGCAGGAGAATCACTTGAGCCCAGGAGTTGGAGGTTGCTATGAGCTGTGATGCTCCAGCACTCTACCCAGGGTGAAAGCTTGAGGCTCTGTCTCAAAAAGAAAGAAAGGAAGGAAGGAAGGAAGGAAGGAAGGAAGGAAGGAAGGAAGGAAGGAAGGAAGGAAGGAAGGGAGGGAAGGGAAGGAAGAAGATACGAGACCAATTTTGCAATCTACTATAGCTCCCTCGGGAAAGAGGAGTGAAAAATGTTCCTTCTCTGTAGCCCATGGATCCCGTGGGCCAGGACAACCTCTAGATAGTCATCTTTGAGGAAGTGATTCACTCAGGCTCTGGGACTTCCCTAGGCCTCCAGGACCAGGGCTCAGCCCCTCGGAGAGGCAATGTAGATCCAGACCCTCAGCCCCTTGGAGAGGCAATGTAGATCCAGCCCCTCAGCTCCTCAGAGAGGCAATGTAGATCCAGACCACATGGGGAAGGTGCAGGAGGTGGAGCTGCTAGTGGGGGGAGGCCTCCTTGGCAGGGAAGAGGGTATTTGAAATCCTGGCTCCCGGCTCCCTTCAGCCCACTCCAAAGCAAGAATCTGCCTTAAGGACACCCCCCCCCGCCCCCACCTTCCCAGCATCCCCTTGGTAGGGAGGGGCTGGATGGCCCTGAGACTTGTGCCTTTTACCATGGTAACTGGTGCCACCTGCTCCCTAAGGTCAAGGAGTCGTCCCTGAGCTTCCCTTTCAGGGGCTGACTGTGGCCTCAGCATGTCTCTTCCACAGGTGGCTGCACTGGAGCGGCAGATCTTTGACTTCCTGGGCTACCAATGGGCTCCCATCCTGGCCAACTTCCTGCACATCATGGCGGTCATCCTGGGCATCTTCGGCACCGTGCAGTATCGCTCCCGGTACCTCATTCTGGTACGGCTCACTCAGCATCTTCCCAGGCTAACCCCTCTGTTCGCCCCTGCACACTCACCCTCTGCTCCTCACCCAGAACTGCCTCCCAGCACTGGGCACCCAGACCAGCTTGTCTGGGTTCCAACCCAGCTGGTGGGGTGAATGTCCAAATCCCAATGTTTCTTTGCTCAGAAGAGACAAGATTGGTATTTTTTTCCGAAGAATTTCCTGGGGAAATAATCCAAATATAAACAAAATGGCAGCTTGGCTCCCATAGCACAGTGGTTATGGCGCCAGCCACGTATACCGAGGGTGGCGAGTTTGAACCCGGCCCAGGCCAGCTAAATAATGAAAAAATAGATAAATTATTAAAAAAAATAAAAATAAATGGCACATGAAAGGGACACCGCTAAGAGTTTCACATGCTTCATCTCATCTTTACAACAGCTCTGTCAGGTGTATCTTACCGTCTCCATTTTCCAGATGATGAAACGGAGCCTCTGAAGGTTACGAGTCTTCCTAAGGTCACATAGCTAATAAAGGCAGGGCCAGGATTAGAGCATCAGGTCTGGAGTGAAGGCTTCTGCCATGGCACCACACTGCCTCAGTAAGCCACGGAGAGACAAGGGAGAAGTGGGCTTGTCTTGTTTAGTTTCTTGAGTTGCTCCAGGAAGCTTCAGGAAGGCCTGGCTTTTGTCCTTCCACCTGATGCTCATGGAGAATGTGGCCTGGAGCAGCTAGTGTGACTTTGAGGTCAGTGCCTTCCCATCCTCCAGCCCAGAAATCTGATTGTGATCCCAGTCCCCTCCCCCACTGCCTCTTCTCAAGCCCCTGGTCCCATGTGGTCTCTGTCAAACCCCTGTTTTCAGCTAGACTCACCCATTTCCCTGCTTTCCTTAGAGACCTCTTCACATGACTGTCCCAAGGGAAAAGGCTTTTCACCAGATTTACTACATACATGCTTGACACCTACAGCCACAATGACATGCAGTGTCATACTGCCCCCAGAGCCCACACACACTCTAGAACTTCTTCCCCCCAGTCCCCACAGGCTCAGCTCCCAGAAGCCAAGGGAACAGGGCCCTTACAAAGCTCTGTCACCTGACATAAGAGAACATATCTCTCCAGTTCTCAGGAAAGCCCCAGGCACCTCTGTCAACACCACTGTTTGCTAGGTGACAGCCACTGGAATTACAGGCACAGGAATCAAGTAGAAGCATCCAGCCCCCAAATCTATCCTTTCCTTTTCTTTTTTTTTGCAGTTTTTGGCCAGGGCTGGGTTTAAACCTGCCAACTCCGGCATAAGGGGCCGGCACCCTACTCCTTTGAGCCACACGCACTGCCCCCCAAATCTATCCTAACCTCTTCCTCCCTAACTCTCAAGGACAGCTGTGGGTAGAATGCTGTCCTCCCCAGACGTGCCCACATCTGAGATATGGAGAAACTGAGAGGCCAAGAGGGGTCTGCCCTGGCAATGCTGCTCCCAGGCAATGCTCCTCCAGCCAGGTGGAAAGTTGGACCTGTGTCCCTAGGTGCAGTTTATAGAGCAAAGAGGGAAGGGAGAAGAATGGCAGTGTGAGAGCTTCCAGGCTGGACTCCTCTACCATCCCTGGAGCCTTAAGTTGGTCTGTGGCATCATAGCCACAGCCTCCCAAGTAGCTGGGACTACAGAAACCCACCACAATGCCTGACTATTTTAGAGATGAGGCCTTTCTCCATAGCCCTGCCCCCACCTCCCCTCATCTGCTTATAACCAGAGGGCAGTCACAGCCATATGTGAGATGATGTCACACTTATACTTGGACACTAGGCTGCAGGATAACCTGCCGTCTTTTTTGGTCTAAAGTTCTTAGCATCTTTAATCATTGCTGACTCAGTTTTTCACAGAAGATCACAATCGTTTATAAGAATTAAGCCTCTTAAAAAAAAATGGGCGGCGCCTGTGGCTCAAAGGAGTAGGGTGCTGGCCCCATATAGAGGCCAGAGGTGGTGGGTTCAAAGCCGGCCTCAGCCAAAAACTGCAAAAGGGAAAAAAAAAAAAAA